AATGCTTAAATGTTGTTAAATGGGGAAATGAAGCTTAATCATTGGTCAGGTTTAAAATCTGAAGTGAAGTCGTTTTATTCAGTAAAATGATTACATGTTCTCAATCATGAGTGAGGTAGGGAGCCTCCCTCCCCCAGTGGCCATGTTTACAGAAGTGTGTTTTTGTCTATAAAGTGCAAGAGTTTTAATGTTTATGTAAATTGTGCAGGTAACATTATGGCTTGGAATTGTTTATTGGGTTCTCTAGCTGAATTTTCAAATGAAATGAACTGGCACATTGATCCCATTTTAGAGCATTTTTTCTATTTCCAGAATTATATGTTCCTTTTTCATGATCCCCACTTAACCTTTCTTTGATATGCCTTGTAGCCCCACAGTATTTAAGTCTGGAGAACATAGACAAGAGAAATGCATTTAAAAAAATCTATCAACCTTTATTTGTATTCTTGCAGTACTCATATGTTTCTATGGCAACTCTGAGGTCAGTGGAGTTTAGAAATGAGATAGGAATGTGAATGAAAAGTGTGTGCTCTTTGCTTTTGCATGGCTTGGCTTAGCATCACAGGTATTAGGGCCACTTGAAAGCATGAAGACCAGTTGTATGGGAACAGATTTCTCTCAGTGGCACATTTTGCTTTTTCTGAGCCCTCAAATATATTGCCTCCGCATGAACATTATGGTTACTATAAATTGTCCATGATCATGGAGTGAATTGTGTGATTTTTAAAAATGTAACTGCTTAATATTTGCAGCTTCTGGCTGATTCATGTGACTGTTTGGCACCTTTGAAACAAATGAAGGGAGGGGTATTGGGACCCTTCTAAACCCCTTTTATTTGTCATTTACAAGCATATTTAGTTTAAAATGTGGGCTGCCCCTGCTGTGTTGTCAGCTCTTCTTTTGCTGTCCGTTCCACATGTTCTCCCTTGCACTCATAACATCACAGAAACTACCGCCCCTTCTCCCTAGTAGCATTTAATGTTATAACTTTTATTCCACATTAAATGGGACTTGTGCCTACTTAGAGTGCCCCTCCAGTTAATTACTACACATGCCTGAAATAATCCACGCAGAGTCACAAGGAGAGAAGTTTTTAAAAGTCCACTTGAGGCCAGTAAATTATCTAAGTATTTTACCACATTATCTTGACACTCGATACATCAGCCTATTAGGAACTGCAGGTGGTTTCATAGAGCAAAATCCAAGGGGAGAGGAATATGTGGGGTTTCTGTTAAAAGGTAACTTTGTTCTTATTTTACCTTTCCTTTTATGATCCTTCTCTGCAAGGTTAGAATAAGTTAATTCTCCAAATTTATTTTATTTTTTATCTTTTAGGGAAACTTTTATGAAAGTGATGGTCTGATGTAAATAACATTTTAAGATATAGTGCACATAACTCCCCCAGACTATTCCAACGTGATAATTTGTAAATGCTTTAGAGTTTTTTAAATTAACACTTGTGTTGCTAAATCCTATTTATGTAAGTCTGCTAAATTTTTTAACCCATTTAAAACTTAAGACAAACATTTAAATAATGGATGGGTTACTCTGAGCAGTTTAGCTTTCAGAACCCCCTTGTTTTAGTATATGAAAAAGATAGCCTAATGCGCATTAATGAGGCTGGAGAGACTATGAGACATATGTATAGTGTATATTTTAAAACAGCTTTGCTTGTATTGTGAAGATTTAAAAACAAACTTGAGATTTTTAACGTAACTATTAACACAGTTTTAACATAAGTTATCCCACTGGGTTTAAGAGCATCTTGAATGTATAATCCTTTTTGTAACCCAGGTTGGTTTCTGCTTTTACCAGTCATCCAAACATATTATTTATGTTTTTAATTTTATATATTCATTTCCCTTTGTTTTCCTCAACCAGCATGATTTTTTTGCACATGTATTGTAGAAATTTTTAAAAAGAAAATTAATACATCATTTTCTCTGGGTTTTCTTCACTTCTCTCTTCCTTTGTACTAACCCCTTACCTTAAAGGCCATATCGCTCCATTTGCATTATTTGTGCAAATGCCAGGGTTGGTTTTTTATTTTTATTTTTGCTATTTACCTAAAAAAGAAAAGTGCTTCAGTCAGTTGCTTTTTCTATTTAAAAAAGAAAAAAGAAAAGGAAAAAAAAAGCTGTAACCTTATCATTTCTGAGTAGACCATTGAGAAGTGAATGCACACCTGTAATAGCCCAGGACCAGCTTTGGTGGCTGAAGGGAATATTTTAACTAAGCAGGATGTTTTTTTCTAAAAGTGGTGTATATTATTCACAATCTCTTTCAGTTATTCCCACAAATCGGGTCCAGATAAAATGAGGGTTATCAGCAAACTGATACGTTATCATTGAGGTTCATCAATGAATTTGTACATTTCTAGTTCCCTTTGGTGAAGGGAAAAATGATGATTTTGCAAGACCTAGATTTTGACTTGGTTTCTTGCCTCCTTTTTTGGCAGCCTATATCTTCTCATCTCCTAAAGCCCTTGAGCCTGTAGGGTTTTTGTAGTGGATGAAGGACTTGTGGTCTTTTAAAACTAGGACTGGTTTTTGGTTTTTTGGTTTGTTTTTTTTTTGTGTGTGTGAGAGATTATCATCTTGAAAGTGACGTTCTGCCACTTTACAGATGACTAATTTTAAATATACACAGTCCTCTCAATTTTCGGACCAAACAGATGCCCACAGTGGAGGCTTATCAAGGGTTGCAATGGGGAAGAAGCCTCTCCCTCACTGTCAGCACCAGCTGGTAAAGGTGACTGTACAGATGTGCATTTTCCTTTTGGTAGAAATGGTCCACAGCACTAACTGGTAAGGCTTATTGTACAGTATATTGTCAGTATTCTTCTGGTTCAACATACCTTATAGTTCTTATATAACCTGTATTAATTGTATAGATTGTGCATTTAAAGCTGTTACCAAGTTGTCAGAACATAAGAGCGAAAACAAGGTCATATGTAATATTTTGTTTGTAAGTATCCTTTGTATAATAGCAAAGGAAATGTTTAAAAAAATCAACTGTAATAAAGTAATTTTAGTACACAGTGTCTGCTCGGTTCTTCTTAAAGTAGTTTCATCCTGCCCTGACTGCCGTGGCTCAGTAGGTTGGGCGTTATTCCTCAAACCGAAAGGTCACCTGTTGGATTCCTGGTCAGGGCACATGCCTGGGTTGCAGGTTAGGTCCTTGGTGAGAGGCAACCAATAAATGTTTCTCTTTCGCCCTCCCCTTCTCTCAAAAAATAAAATCTTTAAAAAAATAATTTTATCCCAATAAAGTATATTCAATTCAGAGACTATTGGATAATTACTGAATCTCAGTCACTGTGCTGAATGTTGAAGTATAAAAATGAGTAAGATAGGGATGAGGGTAAAACTCCCTGATACAAATAGAAGCCCTCTAGTCCAATTACCTCAAATTCTATTTGCCAGACAGTGAAGTGGCCTATTGTGTTATAGGTGTCAGGTGATTTTTGAGGTTCTAACAGTTTAATGCAGGTCCTTAAATTTAATATAGACCTATTTGTGGTCTATATGACTACAGCTCCCACACAGAGATATATGCAGTTCTTGGACATTGTAAAAACCAAAAGGTGGCTTCATCTGGGCTTATCTTTCCAGATGTGAAAAATCACATTGCAGCCCTATATATGGAGCAGAATATCTAACTAGTTCTGTTTAAAGCACTGTTAAAGTGATGTTTCTTGTCAGAAGGCTAATTTGGGGCAGGAGGGGCATTTATGGGCTGGGGTTTACATGTTTTTAATTAGAAAACGGTTTTGAGTGTTTTTTTTTTAAGATTACTTATTTTTAGAGGGGAAAGGAGCAAGAAAGAGAGATATATCCATCAGCTGTCTCCTGCACACCCCCAACTGGGGACCTGGCCTACAACCCAGGCATATGTCCTGGGAATTGAACTGGTGACCTTTGGATTCACAGGCCAGTGCTCAATCCACTGAGCCACATCAGCTAAGGCCAGACCTTAATGGATAGAGGTAGACAAGGTTACTGAGGTGCTAAGGCTATGCAAGCTGTACAATAAATTTGGGAGTGTCATTTATGTGTATAGCTCTCCCATGGAATTGTATGTTCCAGCAGCTCAAATGACACATTCTTTTCCCTCGTGTTACTATCCTTTACATTATGAAGTCTAAAATGAGCGTTTTTTACTGTAACCTCAGTCAGTGATTGATTAGGAAAAGGCAAGCCCCACTAAACTAATTGTGAGATCTTGAAAGTCGCTTCATCTCTGAGAAATAAGAAAACAGATGGTTTGGGGCCAGAACAAATGAACCAAGGCAAAACCTGTTAGCCAATGTGACATGGTCGTCAGAGTACATGTGTGTGTTTGGGCGGGTCATACAGAGACTTTGCCCTCAGTTGGGCAACCAGGACCCAGCCTCTGAGCCTCAAAAGGTGCTGCTCTTCCAGGCCCTTCCCAACTTTACAGTGGAATTAATAACTAGAATATCTTGGCCTTGTAAGAATGAGAACAGTCAGACCTGAAAGCGTTGCCATTCACCAGAGGGGTCTTCGAGCTCCAGTCAAGGAATTCATAGACATGCAGAAGGGGATCTACTGCTTTTACTGTCTCGTATCTTAACAGACCTAAGTTAAGGCCTGTTTACAGTCTGTCTTTTCATATGGAACAACTCAAAATAACTTTTCCAAAGAAATAGGAGTCACTGATGAAGTACAAACTAGAACACCCCCCCCAACTCCAAGCTACTTATTCAGAACTTTCGCCAATGCACAAATTACTGATGGTCCACTAATTAGGGAAATGTCTCTATGTAGGTACTTTTGAGGATCAGGGAATTTTGAGCCTGCTGGGAAATTATTAGCCCAGAGAAGGAGGCCTGGTTTTTTATTAAACAGCTACCACTGGTTAGTGTTAGGGACACAAAGCTACATCTACAGCAGTGAAGCAACCACCAGCGCACAGAGAATGTACAGGGATGCTCTGTTAACCACAGGTAGGTAAGCATGGCTCAGTACACAGAGGACTTCAAACAGCACGTTTATTTCTGGAGATTTGAAAAATGACATTCCATTGTTGCAGGGAGACTGCAATTTATTTACTATTCAGAGGCAAACAAGATGGAAAGATTTTTGTTCAGCCACACTAGTGATAGATAACACTGTGGCACGGTAGTGCTTTATTAAACAGAAGGTCCAGGTGGGCTAGAGACATTAATTTTGATGTGTTAGTATCTTTTATTGTTTTAATTAATTTCTACTTTTCCTTCAATTTACAGCTCTTCCTGGGCACTTTGAATCTTACAGACACCTGTTCACTTAGGCAGGGTTTGTCTGTCATTAAAATCTTTATCTCACCTCCCAACTCCCAGAATGCGGGTCAGGTCTGTGATCTGATCCTCAAGCCCATAAATCAGCCAGAAGTCTTTACAACTCCCTGAGCTCATTAGCATTATCTTAACTCACCAACTTGCAGATGAGAAGAGAGCTTATTTCTTGGCACATGTGCTCTCCATCATGTGGGTCAAGTTGCAGTGTAGCTTGCCTGTCCCACAAATAATGTGGAACTTACTGCTTCCTGAGGTGTTCGTGCCATATCCAGGCACTTGGATGATCCCTAGGTATAACTCCTCAGTCGCATCTCTGCCAGTTGCGGTAACTAGTGAAAATAATTTCTGATGCCATCTTTGGGCTTGGCTGTAGAATTATAAATACTCCTATGGGCATTGTTACCAAGTTATACCAAAGTGGCCCGTGTATCTGCTTGTTTAAACAAGAATTCATGCTAAAGTTCATTTGTAAAGGAAAAGATGTTGGCATTACTAAGGGTGACTGACACAAAGGATCTTGTGGTCTGGATGGAAGGGGAGTCAGAGGAGCTTCTGACGCGGGGGTGGTTTTGAGGTTACATATAAAGACAAGATAATACTTCCTGTGTCAAGACCTCTTTTCTAATAGTACTCGTTTCAGAAAAGATACCTTCTTTTAAAACAGAGATGGTGTGTTCTCAGAGGATCTGAGGCTTTGTTTCTCATACTGTTGACTTCAGCCAAGCCACCCCAGAAACCTACGTATACATTCACAAACACTAAATCTTTAAAGGAATTAAGCTATAGCTTAGCGTAGTCTTGGGTATCAGAGGTCAGAACTTAGCAGAACCCAGTTTCAGAGGCAGTTGTCTGCTTCCTGCATTTTGATGCAATGAGTGGAGACAGAGAACTCAGTCTCTGCTTCTGAGATAATGCCTCCCTTAAGTCAGTGGCAGTTTTTGTGTGTGTGTGTGTGTGTGTGTGTGTGTGTGTGTGTGTGTGTGTGTGTGTTTAAAAAGGTGTTCATAAATAATGAAAAGACCAAGAGGGTTTCAAGCAACTGAATGGGGCCTGACAGGATTGGTGAAGCCTTGCTACCTGGGAAACTCCAAGTCGGTTGTGCTTCTTAGGGTTTTGTTTTGTTTCTTGCTTCCTCAAACTCATAACTTGTCATTTTGTTCAAGGGCCACACATTCTCAGAATAGTGTGTCTGGTGCTGCTCAAGCTGATTTCATATAATCAGCTATTAACCAAAGCAGAGCCATTTGGGTGATTCCCTCGTTAGACAGGAGGATAGGGTCACCCAGGCCCCTTGGTACAGGAACTATACTTTCTAGACAAAAATAAGCTGAGAAGCGGATGTTGCCAAGCAATGAGGGTAAGATGGGAGAGAAGTAGTGATTTTCAATGAGTGTGCTGCAAGAATTTTTGAAACATGCAATCCTTGTCTATGTAGTTAAGGGCACTGACTTCTCTTCCCTTAGATTGTCAAAAAAATGACAACTAATACAGTAGGTGTCCGGTGTGAATGCCCTATCTTGAACATAAGTATACAGGTCATACAATAGAGTTGAATCTTATTGGTCACATCACATTATAAGGTTGTGTCTGGTTAATTCTTGGTACCAGAAATTATTTTTTAAAATATTTTATTTATTTTTAGAGAGAGGGGAAGAGTGGGAGAAAGAGAGGGAAAGACACATCAATGTGTGGTTGCCTCTAGCATGCCCCCGACAGGGGACCTAGCCTGCAATGCAGGCATATGCCTTGACCAGGAATTGAATCGGCAGTGTGTTGGTTCACAGGCCGGCACTCAATCCCTGACTGAGCCACACCAGTCTGGGCCAAAAATTCTTATACATAAATATAGGCATCTGATTTTTTTTTAAAGTCACTTTGAAGCAAAAAAAAAAAAAAGGTAATCACTGTTATTATTTTTGGTGTGCCATGGAATTTTAGTAATTAGATTATGTGTACCATGAGATGGAAAAGTTTAAAAATCGCTGATTTAGGTCATTAGGATTGTGGGTCCAAGGTAATTCATGGAGTCTGGACTAGGGCTGTCATGCCTATGGAAGGGCTTTCGGACGATAACTCTGTCAGTACATCTAGATGACAGACAAATAGAAAGAGATATAGACACACATATCCCACCCTGCAGGCTTTCTTTCCTGTAAAAGGAAAGGGACATCAACCACAATTTCACAAAAAGCTATTGTCTTCAAGAACCAAAGTCCCGGGGTATCTGGCCTAGAGAAACAATATAGAGTTAGCCTTTGGGGGACATTTAAGTCAGAAATGGGGGAGTTGAGAAACCAGTGGCTGCTTCTCATTTTGTAGTCAGTTCAGAATGATCTGCATATGGGACTGCAGGCCCCTAATTAACCTGGACCTGATGCTGCAGACAGGTGGGCTGATATCAGTGACTGTCCCTCACCAAGTCTCACACAGGGGTGGTTAACCAGCGGTAGGATGGCTTCTTTAGGTTTCAGTTCCTTATTACTTCTCCTGCTCAGAAATGGTGAAAGACCTTTAGATGAGGAGTGTGGAGGAGGAAGAGCAAGAAGAGGGGAAGGAGGGATGTCATTTTTTCATGACAGGAGAATGAATGTACCTTGGACAATTGAATGTTGTCTGCATTTTCAGTTTAGATTCTTGGATACTTCCGAATTTCTTATTTGCTCTAGAAGAACAAGGCTTAAGATTATCCAAATCTGAAATTGTGGCCCCAAAAAGTCCTCGTACGAAGCTTTAGGACACAGCTTCAGTAAACGTCTCTCTGTAAAATTGCTTTGCTGTTTGTGAGGCTAGGATGGGGCTTCCAGTCAAAACAGGTGCCCTTGGGGAAAAATACAATAAAGATTAAATTTTAAAATAATTTAAAAATTAAAAAATATATAGGTGCCCTCTTTCTCAAAGAAAAATTAAAACTTCAGGGCAAAGCTCTCAGAGGCACGTGGAAGCAGACATCCTGTTGTATTGTTTGATGGACTGATCCAAACCAGGACATGTACATCAGTGTGGACAATGTTTTGTCTTATGCTGGTCTTCAGCATTATTCCTCAGAAAACCGAACACCCCTGAGTGACCGGATCAAGGAATAAGTTTTATCTGCATCTACACGAATGGCCTTTTGAATAATTGACCAGAAGAAGCACAGTAATGTGAAATATTCATCCATTACTGAGTCAGTTCTAGCCAACCTCTTGGAACTTTTTGTTCCGCCTGGTCCCAGATGTCTCTTCAGGTTCTAGAGAGACAGAGGCTGGTAGTAGTGTCAGAACGTAGGGAAGCTAACTGGAAAAAACCTAAGACATGGGGTTCATACTCTTCACCATTTAGAGAAAGTCCACATTGCAGGGGAAAAGCAGCTCTGGCCAGAGCTCTCTGGAGTAATAACCCCCAGAAATGGTACCAGACGGAGCAGCCACAGTGCCTGAAAGTCTGGCTCCTTGAGCCACAGTCTAGCAAACTGTTCAAGGACTTCCTGTTCCTAAAATCATCCTTGGGATCTGTCCAGCGAGGCTTGAGGTCCTAGGCTGAAGCCACAGATCAGCCCCATTCCCAACAGAGACCTGCAGAAATGTCTGAAAGGCTGGACCTTAGTATTCTAGACAGGGGTTCGCAATCTCTACCCTGGGGCTCACGGACTCCGTCTCTGCACCACACATACTGCCTCTGCGGCCTTCCCCATACCCACGCAAGACAGACGCAGCCACACCGCTCTCCAGCAGCCACACGGCTCTCCAGCCCACTCTAACTGCTGTCACTGCTGCCATCGCATGCAGTCAGCAGAGTGGCACGACCGCAGAATGAAATGAGGGAAGTGGGACCCAGACACAGACATCCTGTCCTTGCTACACCGAGTGTCTCCAACTTGAGAGGCAGCGTCACAAAGCTGCCAATGACACACAGAAACTCATCTTCTCTGTGGTCATTGCTAAGAAGAGAGCATTTTATCCCGAGTCCATGGGCTCAAATGGCACTGATCTTTGGCTTATGAGGTTGGTCATAGGAGACAGTGATGTTCAGCTGCTGACCAGGATGAGCGAGAATGTATTGAGGAAAGCCTGGGCAGGGCTTCTGCTCGGGGTGAAGTAAGTGGCAGCTAGCTGGAAGTTCTGTCTCTTCCTGCAAACTGGAACAGAAGGGGCTGAATCAGTGGCAAAGAGCTGGAGCTGCTTGCTCCGTTCAGTCCCCACCACATTTTCAGGACTCTGCCAAGCTCAGCCCTGTTCTTCTTTTCCGAATGGGGGCCTGTGGGGAGGCTTCTCTGGCCAGCTTTCACCTTGTGTATGATCGCTTCCAGCTAAAGATCTCCTCCAGACTGGCAGAAGGAGAGACCTCCCGCTTCTGCAGGGTTCCCCAGCGACGCCGGCCCCCTAGCAATGAAGCTCGGTGCCGGCTCAGCCCTTTCATCCTCTCTTCCGTTCGGAAAAAGTCGGTCAAGGCCCGGAAGTACTCCAAGATAACCTCGTGGCTCCATGCTGGCAAGGGCTCATGGCGCAGGAAGCCACAGTGGCCTCCATGGCGACTGAGCAGGAGGAAGAAGTAGGGGTTGTTGTGAAAGAGTTCAGTGGGCAGAAAGAGATCTGGGGGTCCACACACAGGGTCATCAGTACTACAGATGCACAGCACAGGTACGGCCGCCTCATCCACATCCCGGAGGGGGTCATTGTGGTCCCAGTAGGTGTCCCAACTGATGGGGAAGTTCTTGGTGTGGCAGAAGAGGGTCTCCTCAAACTCTCGCAGGGAGCAGCTCCTGAACAGTTTGTGGATGTCCACCGTGTCCTCCAGGGCTGTGGCATATCTGGTGGCAAGAAGTTGAATAAGGAGGGTAGGAAAGTGAGGGAAGAATTAGAACACAAACTGACAGCAGTAGTTACAGAGTGGCAGCCCACAGGCCAGATTCTGGCCACAGAGGCTTTCTTTGGCCATGTGTTTTTAAAAATTTCATTTCATGGTCATCATTTAAAATGCAGCTATCGGTCTCTTCTAGACAAATGGCAACATGGGCTAGCATTCCTGAGGGCAACAATCACAGTATTTCCGCCCTCTTTCCTGTGTCACAGTTCCTACCAGGCCTTTATTCTCAGTACTACCTGCCCAGCCCTGGGGCAGCAGTTGACTTTGCAGCTGCTGAGCTACAGTGGCAGCTCTCCTCCTGACCTCAACTCCTGACCCTCTGTGGGGAACTTGCAATGAACTGCACCTCCTGAGTCCCTCCTAGAAGAATTCACTGGCTCAGACTATCCAAACCAGCAGGTGACACCCCCTCCATGACTAATCTTTTACTTTAGGATGTATTAGTTAGTTTGTATTTTAGGAGCCAATACGCTATCCAGATAATGACAAATGAATGTGTGGAGAAGGTATTCCTAGGGGCCTAAATTGCAGAGGAGGTGACTGTAATTCATTTATTAGGTGAGTTACCAAAGAAGAGCCTGAAAGCAACTCTTTTAGGGAAGAGGGACATCTTTGCTGTTGCCATTTCCCTGGAGAGGGCCTGGGACCCGATGAGGAGGCCCAGAGGGGCAGCTCAGACCTCTGGACGGAGCAGTCCAGCATTGGCCCACTGGATTTGGGTGTGTCACCTGCAAACATTCAAAGATGCTTGCCCCAAGTTTTTAATCCCAAAGTGCTATGGGCAGGGCAGTTGCTTAAAGGCTCAGGTTTCCTTTCCACTTCCCTCACCTTAACCTCCAGGTGGTACCCAGGGTCAGTGCTAGTGGTGGTCACTGGGGATGGAAGCTGGCAATGAAGCCACAGGAGAGCACCGTGCCCCGGAGTGCTCGGGTGGCTCTGGTTTTCCACGATAGAGTGCTGTTGTTGAGCTCAGAGTTTGATTTCAGAACAGGAGGCAAAATGGGGCAAGAAAAGAAAGGGAAATCACAATTGCCACCATTTATTGAGCATGTACAGCAGGCCTTCACTTCCATTATCTCATTTCATGCTTATAACTACCTACCTTGGGAGGTAGTTAACTCTATTAACTGAAGAGAAAAGTGAGGCTCCAGGGATACTGGGATACAGGAATCCAGGCTTCAGGGAGTTTGCTAACTTGCTGGAAATTCAGAATTTGAACCCGAGCTGCCTGACTCCACGTCCCAGGGCTTCCTGCCACACCACACTGTTGCCATAATGTCCTTGAGCTCTTTCCACCATCTCCTAGAAAAGAGCCACTGCAAGCCGAGGCCTGGTCCTGTGCTGTGGGAATGTCGCTCAGGCGTTCTCAGTGGAAAGTCTCACCTGCCTCTGTGGTGGCAGAGTAGATTGTTCTTTTGGGGGAGATTTTATTAAAATCTGTTGAAATTTTTTTTAAAGATTTTATTTATTTATCTTTACAGGAGAAGGGAAGGAGAGAGGGAGAGAAGCATCAATGTAGGGTTGCCTTTCGTGCGTCCCCTGCTGGGAACTGGCCTGCAACCCCGGTATGTGCCCTGACTGGGAATCGAACGGCCATTGTCTGGTTCGCAGGCCCGCGCGCTCAATCCACTGAGCTATACCAGCCAGGGCTGAAATATTCTTTATTTTTTTCATTAAATGAAAAATGAAATAAGGAATAAGCAAAAGATTTGTCAGGTCTAAAAAATTTTAATAATCAAATACCACCAAATTTTTTATTTCTGTCACCTCCAGGCTCAAAGGCTATTAGGTAATATTCTGGACACATCATCAGTTGCAATTGCTTCCGGGGCCCTCTTTGCTGATTTGACCAGCTACAGACTAAGTGGTAAATGTCAGGCACTGCCTCTGCTGTGGGTGGGACAGGTGCTCGGGTTGCTAGGACACGGTGGGGCTGAGGTGAGGCCAGGGGCCCCAGGGCAGGAGGCCCTGCTTAGCATAAAGATGCTGACTGAGTCGTCCATGGATTTTAAACCGGCTTCCCTGGTTCTGTCTAGACTAGAGGGTTTGAACGGTTTCAGCTAGTGCGTGAGGAGAACTTTGCCCAAATTGCTCTAGACCTGTTCCGGTCAATACCAGGCAGAGCTGTGTCTCTGCTGGCCCAAGACCCCAGTTTCTCCCCTTACCGGCCTCCGTTACCCACCTGCTGAGTGCGATCTTCTGGTGGAGCAGAAAGCCCCGCTCGTAGGGCCAGGGCAGGCCCGCCTCGAACCACTCGCGGCAGCGCAGCACCGGCGAGATGCAGGCGGCTCCCGTCACGTAGCTAGAGGAGCCGCACTCGCCCAGGTAGGACAGCAGCAGCCCCGAGCCCGAGCCCTCGCTCACCGCGAACAGCGGGGCCGCGGGGTGTCGGAAGCGGATATAAGTTACCGCTTCCTTGAGATCTGACGGGTCCCCGAAAGGCTGCAGCCGGGGGCTGACCAGAGGGCAGCCGTGGTGGCCGCGGCGGTGGAAGATGACCGGGTAGTAGCCGCGCTCCAGGGCGAGCAGACAGAGGCCGAGCACGTTGCGGGTGAGGCGCCCCCACGCATTGGGGATCACCAGCAGCACCGCCGGGAGGCTCCCGGCGTTGGTGACTCGGCGGCCCCGCGCGCAAGGTCCCACGACCCAGTCCAGGGCCACCAGCCCATCGTCCGCTAACTGCAGGTACTCCCGGGCCAGCTCGGGCCCCGGCCCCACCGGCAACACGAAATGGCAGAGGGTCTGCAGGTGGGGCCCAGAGAGCCAGGAGCGCGGGCCCGGCTCTAGGGCTGCGGAGCGTCGCAGGGCGCGCAGCAGGCACTGCGCCAGCGCCGACGGCTTACAGATGAGCCTGCAGCCGCCGGGCAGCGGCTCACGCTCGTGGCTGAACTGGTCCGCCGGGCCTCCGCTGTCCGCCTCCTGGTCTTCGTCCCGGTCCCGAGCCCCCGGCGGGGTCCTGGCTCCGACGGCGCGCCTCCCGAGGCGTCGCAGACGCAGGGAGAGCAGGCCCAGCAGGGCGAACGCGGCCAGGAGCAGGGCGAGGGCGGCGCCCCACAGCGGCATGGCGAGGCCGGAGAGCCCCCGGCGGGTGGCGGGCAGCGGACAGAAGGCGGCAAGCGATGGGGCAGTCGCCTCAGCTAGTTCGCCGCTCTGCCCGCGGCTCCGCCCGGCGGCGGGCGGCTGCCCAGGGCCCTCCCGCGCGGGGGGGCGCTCTCCGGATTGGCCGCAGCACCACAGAGGCAGCCAGTTCGGGCCCGGCTCCCCTCGTCCGCCCCCCACTCCCGCCCCCGGCCCTTTGTACAGCGATTGCGACAAGCAGGAGCAGAGGGTGAAGGAAACCGGGGCCACAGGGAGGGAGCGAGGACGCGCCGGCGAGCCGGAAGGAGTGGGGAGGGCAGCGAAACGAGGAGGGGGGTGTTGGCAGCAGAGAAGTGAGGAGACTCCGAGACCGAGGCCGAGGCTTGGGGGACGGGGATGAGCAGGAGTCCGGTCCCTTCTCCGCCCCGCATAGTGGGTAGCGGCGGGTGAGACCCTGCGTCGCTGCGCCCTCAGGAGCCGCTATTGAAAAATAGCAAAAGGGAGAAGTGAATAAACCACAGCTCCCAGCGCGGGCTCTGGGGTTCTCCGAACTGCACGGGAAGCCACCGGCCGCGCCTCTGTCCCCGGGCTTGGCCGCGCTCTGCGACCCTGGCGTTTCTCTCGGCCCTGTGGGCACCAGCAACTGCGCAATACCCGCGCCGGGCGGGGGTCGAGCTCGGGGCCTGCGAGGACCAGAGCGGGCGGGTTTGCGGCGGGAGGGGAGAGCGCCGGGCGCTGCACCTTCCCTTCCCGGCATCGGTGCGCTGTCTCCCCGCCCCCCACCCCGCCACACACACACCTCCAGAGCCTGGCTTCAGAGAGAGGAAATCTTTAAAACCGCTCTCCAGGAAGGACTTCCCCAGATGAAGAAACGCTTGGGGGAAAAGACGCACCCAGGTGCTGGGCGAGGGAGATGCTCGCCAGACAGGGATGGGGTTGTGGCAGGGAGTAGGTTGGAGTCCACCAACTCAATGGCTGGCAATTACTAGGGTGACGGGGAAAAGGTTAGGGACCTCTCCGTGAGTCACAAGTATGTGAGAGATGACTGAAGTAACACGTTCTTGCTCTGTTTGGAGGTTTGGACTAAATATCTCAACTCTCACCCTCCACCCACGTTTCCGTGTTTCCTCAAAAATCCTGAGCGGCGCCAAGAAGGGGACCAGGGAGAGAGAGGGCGGCAAGGCGGCGCCCCGCTGCTGGGGAGGCACGGCCACCGCTCGCTGCGGGGGGAGAGGCCTGCGGTTTCGCCACCTCGCTGTGGCGGCCAGTGCCTCCTTGGGCACGCGCTGGCCAAGGAACGACCGCGAGGGCGGCTCGGGGTCCGACTCCGGCCTCCCAGAGCTTCTGGGTGTGAGGAGGGTGGAGGTCTGAGACCCTCTCCCGCCGAGGCTCTTCTGGGTTCGGGCCCTATTTGCCAGGGTAGGAGTGGGATGGGCTGAAGGTGAGGCTCTTGAGCGGGAAATTTTCTTCCGCGGCTCGGACTTGGTGATTCTGCCCTTCTGCCCATGGATGGGTCTGAAGCAAGTTTGTCGGAGAATACCGGTTTTCCCTCCTGGGCCCTCTGGTCCACAGGGATTCCATTCGCGCCCCTCGCCCCGCTCCATGACCCCACCCAGGCACTGCAGCTGCGCTCTGCAGGCCGCGGAGACCCGCTGCGACGACGAAAACCGAGCAGAGGAGGCGCTCCGCGCCTGAGCCTGGCTCCCACACAAAACTTTTCCGGTTTGGGATTCGGGACGCGTGCGCTCAGTGTCCGCGGCAGTGGGCGGGCATTGGGGCGGGGCGGGGGCGGGGCGAGGGCCGCGCGAAGCTGTGGGGGCGGGGCGGGCGGGAGGGGCGGGGGTTTTGCGGGCCTGGGGTGTCCCGGCGCGCGGGCTAGTGCGGGCGGTCGAACGGCTGGAGCCCGGGGTCTACGTGGGCGCGTGGGGGCGCGGGGAGGGCGGGCGCGGCGCGCGCTCAGTCCCTCCCGCTCTGGCCGGGGCGGCGGGCTGGGCCCGGGATGGCGCCTCCTCAGGCTTCGCTCCAGCTGTTTCTGCTGGCAGCCCTGGCGGGGCTCCTGAGTCCCACTCAGGTAAGGCGGCCCGCTCCCGAGAAGGCTTCGGCCGGGAATCTTAGAGCGCTTTGCCGAAAGTTCGTCCGGGAAGGAGGGGCCCGCTGAGAGGGGGCTTGGATCCCTCCCCTGGCGGGCCGGGCCTGCCCGGACTGGAAGGCAGGGCCCTCGTCGAGACCGGCGCCCTAGCCCTTCTGCGCCTTGGACCCACAGGTGATGGCTGAGTCGGGGGAGGAGGCGGGAGCCCGTTGTCCGGAGGGCCTGTGGCCTCTTCCCCAACAGGTAGGAGCCTGGAGGGCGTGTGAGAAGGGGTAGCCCGTTCCGTCCTGGCCTCTCTGCACCCTCCACAGTCACCCTCTGAGGACTTCTGCCGGTTCTCTGTCCCTCAGTCGCCAACGTCTTCCGTCTTCATCCCAACCTGGGGGCGTGGGGCCTGCTCTTCCTTCCCCACGACTCACGGAGTCTCCCAGTTGCTTTAAGCTTTCTTCTTTCCCCATGTATAGGTGTCACCAAGAGTGACCTACACACGGATGAGCCCACAGCAGGTAAGTACTACCGGAGCCATTCTTGGTGTCTGCATTTGCAGTTTTTCTCTGTCTTTTCTGCTCATCTGCTCCATTCTTTACTGCTCCATTCTCAGGAAGAGGTAATGTTCTTAGTCCCCACAGTGAGCCAAAGGCCTCTGTCCTTTGCAGTGCTGTGTCGGGAAGGCCGTTGAATATCTAGCTGGCTGTGTGGGGAGAAGGCTGCAAGGAACTCTGGGGATAGTATGGGAAAAACAACTCATATCCCAGCTCTGCTGTGTGATTGTCGGAGTTTCCCCGACTTCTCTGGGCCCCAGTTTTCCGTGGTACCCTTACCCATGAGGAGTAAGTGAAGAGTGTGTGAGAGCACTTCGGAAAGTACAAAGCTGAATGGTGTAAGGAGTGTGCCTCGGGTTACTAGGCTCCAAACTGTGAGTTCACCTTGCATGGCTGCCTCTCTGTTTTTGCCGGTGTCCGGATAGCTGCCATGTTCCTTTGGTTTTCCTTTAGAAAAATCTCACTTTTTAAAAAAATCTTGGTGACTGTTTCAGGTCTCTTGAATCATTCCAGGCCAAGAGACCTCATTCCACCTCAAACAGCCCTTTCATTAAGTCGTTTTACTGTTCAGAAGCATTCGATGGCTCCTTATTTCCCACCTTATCATGGCCATACTCCCTTGCCTGGTTTTTTCAGGCGCTGCCTAGTTAAATAAGCCTTGTCTGACCTTTTGAAATCTGTGGTTTCTCTCCAGCCCTGTTGGTCTGCTCCCCCACCACACATGTGAATGCCAGTCTTACTCCCACTGCTGTATGTTTGCTCCGGCCTATTCTCCACACCTGTCCTATCTTGACCTGAAGCTGAAGGAGGCAGCTCCCTGACCAGCTGCCATCCATATCTATCCATCTATCTTCAAAGCCCAGTGCAGGAGTCAGCTCTCCCATGAGACCTTGCCTGATCACATCAGCCCTTACTCATCACCTTCTCCAAATTTGTGTAATACTTATAACTTATTTCATAACTTAACTAATCAATTTGAGTTTTATTAGTTTGTTCTTTCATTTGCATTAGTTCTGTTTCCCTGAGTTTTCTTTACATTCCTGCAAGCAGAATCCAGGAGTTCTCTTTTGGCATCTCCTACAGCATTTGGCACAGTGCTGAGCATCAGGTCAGCTTAATCAAAGAATTAATAATTGAAGTGCTTCCCTCCTGGGATTGTGCACCTGCTGCCTGTGTGCCCTGTATTTGGATGCTTTTGGAGACTGACAATTAGATAGGATCGGTGACAAGAAGTCCTGGTCTCTGTACAGGGGATACTTGCAGTCTAGTCTGGGGCCCTGCAGAGCCATCATTGCAGGTGCACAGCTAACGAGTGAGGTTGGAGTCTGACAGGGACATCCTGGCATGCTGTCATGAAAGCTGTGATTTCTGAGGGGTGGCACTTGATAGAGAAGGGGTGGAAAGAATGCTCAGACGCAAGAGGGAGTACATGCCAGGACCTAGGGTCCTTTGTCCTTTCCTGAGCCCTGATGGTGGGTCACGTGGCCATCCTGGGAGTCCCTTTAACCTGGCCCCCAACGTGGGAGAACCTGGTATTCTCAGGGGAGGCCTGGGCCTGGCTTGATGTCTCCATGCCTTTTCTCCAGGGTGAGGATGTCGGCTTCCTCTACCACCCCTGTGCCCACCCCTGGCTGAAGCTCCAGCTTTCCCTCCTGGCCCACGTTTATATGGCCCAGCCCTCACTCGCTCCTGACTCTAGCCTCACTCGGGATCGGGTAAGTGGTTGGTGATATTCAGTTGTCTGGCACTGACTGGCAAAGGCTGCAGCCCCATGTACAGGGAAAGGAAAATTCAGGGGCTTCCTCTAGCTCTTTTTTCACCCTCATCTTAGCTCTAACAATTACCTCATTTCTTTCATAGCCCCTGGTATTGGAAGCATGGGGGGTGGTACTGGAGATGGCATGGGTGGAGCCAGCCTGGGTTGCCTACTGGCTGAAGAGAAGGCGGCGAAGGAAGCAGAGGAAGAAGGTATGGTTCCTCTCTGGCAGCCTTTCAGGGTCCTCTCTCTTGGTGCCAACATTGAGCAGAGCGAGGCTGTGCCCGTGAGGGTGTGTGTAGGTAAGGGGTGCCGGGCCCAGGCTTAGTTGGTGGTATGGTCATTGAGTTATCTGGGCAGAGAAAGGATAAGCGTTGTCTCTTCTCCCCTTAGGCCCGGGCTTTGGCCTTTACCCTGCAGAGCTGGCGGCCCCCAGGCACAGAGGTGGCATCTAGAGGGCCCAAGCAACACTCTCCTAGTGGTGCCAGGAGGCGTGGGCTGCGGGCTGCCCTTGGTCACCAGCCCACTCCCTCAGCCCTGAGGCTCCCCTCTCCTTCCCCATGTAGTAGCTTGGAGACCAGGCAGCCCATGTTGGGAACCTCAGGTGAGGGAGGTAATGCCCCATTTGGGCCCACGGCCCCCCTGCTGCCTGGGGGGCCTGGAGGCAGTGCCAGTTCCAGGTTAGAGGCTCAGGTGCCCAAAGGGCAAAGCAGCCCAGGTGGCTGTGCCTGTCCAAGCCAGGCTTCCCCGGCCCCTCGGGCAGCAGCGCCTCCACGGGCAGCCCAGGGTCCCACCCCACGCACGGAGGAGGCTGCCTGGGCAGCCATGGCCCTGACCTTCCTGTTGGTGCTGCTCACCCTGGCCACACTCTGCACTCGGCTGCACAGAAACTTCCGACGTGGAGAGAGCATCTACTGGGGACCCATAATGGATAGCCAGGACACAGTGGCTGGTGAGAAGTTCCCTTCCTTACCCAGCTGCCCCACCCACCATGGCTTTCCTGCCCTTGACTGCTTCCCACCCTGTCCATAGCCGTGCTGAAGAGGAGGCTGCTGATGCTCCCACGTCGGGTCAAGCGCTCGCGCCGGAGACCCCTCCTACCACCCACTCCAGACAGTGGCACGGATGGGGACAGCTCCGACTGACCTGCCCCAGCCCTGCCACTGTGGCAGGTTCTGCTCCTCCTATCCTGGCGAGGCCAAGACCTTTGCCACTTGGACTGTGCACAGGACTGCCCCCTGGTGGCCTAATGGGGCAGTCCTGCCTAAGCATTTGTAAAGGGGTTGGCCCATAATGTGTTTGAGGGCAGGTATAACCAAGGGGAGAAAAAGGAGCTATTTAGCTTCCCTTGCCAAAACTGTATTTTTAATTAAATTATTTTAGTAGAGCCTGGCGTTAAGTCTGTACACCTGCCATATAGACACACCCACCCAGGACACTGCCCTAGGTCACTTAGGTTGTGTGTGAGGCAGGGAGTTTACAAAATCAAGTTGGGCTCTGCCAACCTGGCAGGAAAGGTAGGGTTTTAGGAGTGTGGGGGAACCCCTCCCACCACTGTGGGGAGAGGAGTGGGCAGTGGTACTGCTCCAGGCTCCTCTAAGAGACAACAGGAGGGCTTCCTATCCGCAGTATGTAGATTGGAACAGTTGTACTCATTGGCTTCATGCTGCTGACAGATTGGTTCTCCCTTTCATGTTTACCCCCTTCCCAGTCTCCCCTCAATTCTCTTAAGTACCAGAAACAGCACATGGTCACTTATTTATTTTTGATACAAATGTACATGATACACATCCTGACAGTCAGCCCACCCACCACACAGGTAGAGCCTGGCCCCCAGGGACAGAGGCAGGATAGGGAGAAGAGCTGGTGGGCGCTGCCATCTGCCTCTCCAGCCTTCCCAGGCTGCAACCCAGGTTCCAGGCACCCAGACACCGCAGGCACAGGTGCTAGCCTCTCAGAGGTTATAGGGAGGGGCCTCTCAGCTGAGTCAGGGACCCCGGGGAGCCAGCCCCAGGCTCAGGTGCTCAGTTCTCTGCCCCAGCCAGCACACTCCCCCTCCACAAGGGAGGGGGAGGAGAGATGGAGGGAAGTGGTTTCCATTTTAAGTTCATAAAGGGGAACAAGTGGTGGGAGTAATGAGGGGAGGCAGTGGGCAGGACCCCAGTTGGTTACTCTGGCAGTCCCTGGCCCCTAGGATGGGTGAGGGGGGCTGACCCCCAATGCTGGTCCTGCTGCTCTGGTCCCCTCACCCCTCTAACTCCATATTGGCCAGGCCTCTGGAACGGCACTGCCGCCCCGCACACTCACACGCAGGCACGCAGGGACACTCGGTTACCACAAGGTTAAAATTAAGGGGTAAAAGAGAGGGGAAAAAAAGGATTTTCCAGTGTTTGCTGCTGGGGACCCTGGGAACACAGGCTGGCACCTATGCCCTAGGCAGGGGCCGCTTGGCATTGAAGGAGAGCAGCATGGGGGCTGGTGGCTACATCCACAGAGATTATGTACAAAGGAGGGGGATGCCCCCACTCAGCCCCCAGTAGGACTGAACTGGCTCATGGGGGGGATGCATGTAGGGAGAACCACCCCACTTGGAGTGTCCCCACCTGACCCTTTGCTGAGGGTGCCCTGGAGGGCAGAAGGGGCTGGGAGTGATGCCGTATGGGCCCCTGCACGCTAGGAGGGGAGGGGATGCTATGTACAGGGGGAGGTGCATGGAATGTGGGGGACAGAAGCTCCTGCCACCCCACCTCCCCGTCCTTGGGGGCTTAAGGGGGGGCGGCACCAGGGCGCCTGGCTGCCAGGGGAGAGTGGCAGCACTAAGGGCACTTGCGCCAGCGGCTCTGTTGGGGTGGGGATTAGTGTCGGAGTGGCCCAGCTCCCACAGCCAGTGAGGTCCCAGGGTGTAGGTGAGGGTACAGGGAGAGTGGTCACTGCTTCTTCTCTCGAGTGGTGATGGTGACCAGCTGCTTGGCAGCCTTGGCAATGTCATAGGCGCACTGGATCACCTGCTGAGTCAGCAGCTGGAAGTCCACAGGGGCGCCAGGCTCTGGAGGCACTGTCTTCCGGCACTCACTCTGCAGCCGGTAGGCGCTGGCATTGAGCAGCCGCAGGGAGCTGCGCACAGGCTCCAGGGCTGGTCTCTGGAGGAAGGAAGGAGGGATTTGGGCCTCACAGTTCCAACCATGAACTTTGGTCATGGCTGGGTAGGATCCATGTCTCCACCCCGGGAGCAGATTCCCTACACCAGCCCCACCCTTAGGCCCTTCTGATCCTGCTCCTCTCTCTGGCCCCTGTACCTTTGGGAAGAGAGAGGCCATCTCAGTCACAGCCAAATGGATCTTCTCTGAACAGGGCACAAAGCTGTAGGGGGAGGGGAACAAATAAATTAGGGGGCTCTCAGGGAAGGTCCCCAGGACAATGGAGTGGAACACCGGTCCCTCTCTGGCCCTCTGCAAACCCACAGACCACGTGAGCATGCATCCCACCCCCATACCTGTCATGCTTGAATTCCTGGGCAGCCCGCAACAGTTCCTGAATGTTCTTGGTGACCTGCTCGGTCTTTAAGATGACATCCTCTGTGCTGGGAAGCCCGGGGTCCAGGTCTCCATCCAGGCTTTCCAGTTCTGGGTGGAAGTCCTCTTCCTTGCCCAGCTCTAGAAACCTCTTTCCTTCCAGTCTGAGACCCAGGGTTAGAAAGAGAGACATTTCAGTCATGAGATCTCTTGCCTGTGCCTTCAGATGCCCTAGGGACCACTTGACCTCCCACTATCTGTGTGCCTCACCCAAGCAGAGGGTCCCCACTTTGCGTGTTCTCATAGTCACTGTCAGCACCACTGCCATGGCGGGAAAGCTTGCTCTGGAAGGTACAGGGAAGGACAGTAGGTGAGGTACACACTCTCAGACCCACACGCTCCCCATCAACTCGCTTGCACACATCCCATTCAGCCTGTCTCTCCGCACAGGGGATGAGATGTTACCGTGTGGCGGCTTCCTTCCTGGGAGCACGACAGCAGTGGGGAGGGCGGAGTGAAGGGCACTGCTGAGGCTGAAACCCCCTTCCGGATCTGAAACCCAGGAGGGCTGAAGTCGGTCACTCCTCCTTGTCACCCACCTTCCAGCTTCCCCGCACTGAGGGTGGGAACTATGTATGTCTAGCCACCCCTGTGCACAAAGCCTCCAGCATGAAGCCTGGCACACACTGAGATTTAGAACCTATTTGCAAAAATGAGCCCACCTGTCCCAGGAACTGCTTACCCGGTAAAGGCCGGCAGGGACATGCATTGAATAGACGGTGTCATCCTCCAGCTCCTGGGGGTTAGCACAACAGGTATCATGAAGGGCCCTGGGGCAGAGCCAACCCAGTTTCCCCACCGCCTTGAGCTGGCAACTCACAGTGCTGTGGAAAGGCTGCAGACGAGTGACAAGCTCATCCCCAGGAGGGCCCCCGAAGGGCTTCAGGGCAGAGCCTGGTTCATACATGGAGAAGGCCTGGCGATCCCTGCGGTGGGCACTCCCACCAGGCCCCATGGATGTGTGTTCTGCCCGTTCGCTGGGGAGAGGGGGTGTGGGCACTGGCCCAGGAGGCTGTCGGATCTGCAAGTTCTCTGCCTGCAGCTTGTGGATCTGAGAGTGAAGTGGTGTCAGAAACTCCATGGGGTCCGGGTACCAGTCCCATCTCCCCACTGGGGGCCTGGGAGCCCCCTCTCCCACCGAGGCTGCAGCCCTCACCTCTCTCTGTAGCCTCCGGAGCTCATCACTTAAGCTACTGTTGACCTTCATGAGCTGCTGCACCTTTGCCTCAGAGGTGGCCAGGGCCTTCTTCAGCTCCAGGTACTCCTGCAGCGTCACGGCCCCGTCAGACAGGTCTGAGGAGTCCATGCTCTGCAGGGTGACACACAAGCCAGTCAGCCACCAGAGTCAGCAGACAAATGCCCCCAGAGGGCTGCTCTCAAAGCTGTGACCAGCCCACTTGTCCCCCAGGCTTTGGGCTACAAGAGGAGAGAGCTGGGCCTTGATGGAGGCCTGGGGAGGAACCAGGGAGGGGCAGTGCTCAGACCCGGGCTCGGTTGTTCCGCGTGGCGCCGGTGCTGCGCAGGGGCTCCTGGTCTGTGTCCTCGTCTGAGGCCACACTGTCGTAGTCGTGCTGGTCGTCGAGGTCACTCTGGCTCCGCAGAGACAGCTCGAGGTTGTCTGAGGGCACAGGCCTGTCACGTAGGGCTCAACCACACAACCCATCTATCATGCTACTCCAGAAAGGGAGCCAGGAAAGAGAATATCCTGGAACAGTGCCCACCACCCGAACCTCCATCCTCACCCTTCCTACCTGTGGGGCTGCTCAGGCTCTTGCCCTGCTGTCTCCGCTTGGCCTCGCTGAGGATGTCAATGATCAAGGTGGCAAACTCTCGGGCATTAAAGCGGGCCAACTTCTGTCGCCCCTGCGAGGAGAAAGGGCCAGACAGGCATGAGGAGCCCCCTGCTGTCTGCTCTAACTACAGCTAAAACCCAGCCCGGCTCATGGGGCCAGGACAGGGGTGAGGTCTAGCAAAGACTCAGGGGCTTGGGGTCTGGTTCTCAAGAAGAGGCAGGAACCCAACCTCCAGGGGCTGCTCACCAAGTGCTCAAAAGAACAGCCCCTGCCTCACTCCCAAATCCCAGTGCCAGCCAGGCCTGGAGAGAGGCCTTGGCCAGGGGTGGAGAAAAACAGGCTGTTCCGGACAATAGCCAGTAGGGAAGGGCAGGGCCCACCGAGCTGGAGACCCTAGAAAGGAAGGAAGGAAACAGCCCCAGGCCAACCCACCAAAGCGCCTCACCTGATTCCGTGTTGCTGAGTATTCAGGGTTAACAGGCAGGAAGGGCACAGCACTGCGCTCTGTCACCAGGGTGCTGTGGTTCTGGGTAGCCAGCCACACTGTGGGGGAGGAGCAGGGAGCAGATTGTCCAGAGTGGCCAGGCCCATAAGTAGGCTGGGGGAGCACTGAGCACAGCCTTCCTAGCTCCTCCCCATCCCCACTGAGCTTGGTGATCAAAACAGGGGTCCTCAGACAGGCGCTGGGCAAGGCCAGCTAGGGGACTGAGTGACAGAACAAGGTGACTCCCTCAAGCCAGGCCCAGCTGAGTTGGGGCTGGAATCTGGCTGTGGCCAGGAAGGAGCGGGTGCATGACTGGGAAGAGAGCCAAAATGGGAGGTCATTAGAGCAGAGATGAGCCCCAGTCTCGGGGTGGGGTGGGGTTGGGAGGAGCTGCCGGAGGCCTCCAGCTCAGCACTCTGCCCAGCTGGGGAAGCTGCCCCCGGTTGGGGGGGGGGGGGACAGCTGGCTTCTAGGCAGGCCTGCTGAGCACACCAACCCCAGGCACGCTCCCTTCTTAGTTCCAGTGAAAGTGCCTGAG